TTTTAACAATACAAGATAAAAATAGCAACTAGATTACAGACAAAAAGATTTTATTATATTAAAGTAAATTCCAAAGAATAACATTTTTTAATTGCATTTTCAAAACTCTTTTTTAAAGTCAAAATCATTTATGTCTCAAAAATGTTTTTGTTAAGAAATTGTTTTTTTCAATAAGATATATTCTATTGCATGCACTGAATTACCGAATAACAATAGTTATATAATACAAAAGTATTATAAGACTAGTTACATAATAATGTGATCGCCTACAATAAATGTAAGTACTATAATGATCTTGTAATATAATTAAACATTCTTATTTTATATAATTATCATATAAAATATATATATTACATTTTTTTTTCTCGTTTCAAAGATGCGAAAAGAGTCTCATATAATAATAATGTATAATACAACATTATTTTATTATGCGTAGATTTATATGCATAGACTCACTCGAGTAATCAGTTGTCATTCTTGATCGAGATAATGTGGTCATTTTAACCCTTCTACACTTAATGACAGCTACTGTATAAAATAATCAATATATAGACGTATATAAAAGCTCGTCGGAAAAAATCATTTAAACTTATTTAGAACAAAAATGTGAAATGTTGAAAAAAGAACGTTATAAATATATGTGCAAATAATGTTATAAATTTTTAATATTAAATTATAATAAAATTATATTAAAATTTAATATTATTTATATTTTTTTATTATTTATTATTTTTCGCCCTTTCTCTTAAGTCTAATAAATTTCATAAATCTAAAGGTAAACAATAAATTTATGGATTGCATAATCAATACTTGATCATATAATGAGATTAGCTTAATTCTTTCGTGTCACTCAATATCTTTGATCAGAAAAAAATAAATTTAAGCGCACGATAATAAAAGAAATAGCAACAGGAAATAGAGAACAGTTCAATATAAAATATATGAGATGTAATTTAGTAACACAAAATAGAGAAATTTCATCACTATTGTTCTGTTCCTCTATTATGTGTTACTAAATTATATTTCATATTTTATATTGAATTGTTTCCTATTTCCTGTTCCTGTTTTCTATTCTCTATTTCCTATTTTTTATTCTTTTTATTACGCAGCTGCTATATTTGTTTATTTTAATATATAACGTAGAATTATATAATCGCCAGAAAGTTTTAATCATGTTCATGTATATATGAACGTGTATGAACTAAAAAACGAAAATTTTTAATATTTTTTTATTTGCTTGGTATATATTTTTTTAAAAAATTATGTAATTCATTGTTTTACAAAAAAAAAGTTATGGTATAAATTTCTTAAATTTGTATATCAATTAAGTTAACTTTATAAAAAGTTAACATATAATTTCTTAACTCTTTTCTTTCTCTTTTCCTTGCGCTCTAGTTAATTTTTGATTGTTAATTTACATATTACAAATAATGTTACATATGTAACATACATGCAATATACACTCACCGATACGATGCGCAACAGCAGAATTCTGTAGTACAAAGGGTTGATCTCTGTAACATATTAAAAACACAAATTATAATTATATAAATACAAAATAGTTTTAAAAATAATTAATATTTGAAAAAATCAATGCGCAATGAAACTTTTATTCGTACCGTAAAATATACTTAATAAAATTACGCGATAAAAATTATTAATTAATAACAAAATTTTAAATTATATTTTTCAGATTTAAATTGATATAAAACATAATAAAATTTAATTTTTAAAAGTATTAAATAATTAACTTAATATTAATTGATGACAATGAGCATAAAAATTAATAATATTTTAATTTAAATAATATACATTTATAACTTAAAAAAACAATAATAGTATTCAGAGATAAAAAAAATTTAACTTGAAAAAAAAATCAAAAATAACTAGTTGAAGTTAAAATTCATACATTTTAAATTAACTAAGCTAAACTAAAAGTTATTAACTTTTTTTAACTTTTAACTTATTACTCAACCCTGATTATTTATATAAATTTGTTTTAAATTACCGCATTTATCCGCCGTTGTCCGATGCCTCCCAGGCCTTCCCTTTTGCTCGTACTTAGCATCTTTTTTTGACACTTAACACTCGCGCATTAATAATGACACTTAACGCTCGCGCATTAATAAGCGCAATAAAATAATGTTGGGCGACAAATAAAACGACACTCCCGACGTAAATAAATATCTACGTTAATCATATTTCGCGATTCTAAAATCACCTCTGATTTTCATGGCGCCATACTTTTTGCGCGGAACTCGTATCCCGATGACATTAATCGTACACGTATAACTTTCACACTTCGACACTCCCGCTTTTAATTATACGTACACTTTACGCGTTTTTGTTAATTTACATACGCGATGCGTATTTGAGAATGAAATAACATTGTTAACGCGATAATTTTAATTAGACGGAGCCGATACGATCCGACGCGAAGCGAGACACGTTATAACGCTGGACGTCGTCGCAGTGCTGCCAACTGTCATCACGAAATACGCGGGAAGTCGTCGCAGTGATGCCAACCTTCAAAATAATTAGAGATTATAAAATAATAATATAATTGCAATATTACAATTTTTTATATTTTTATATTTTATATAATTATAATTGCAATAATAATATATATAATTTATATATAATAATACCGATTAATTTGCCAGTTGCAATTAAAATATAATATCAAATTTTTCTGATATATTCTCTACTTTTTCGAAAAATAATGTGCATCTAATAAAATCTTTATTGTTAATTATATATCAATAATATACGAACCTGATGTTCGCTGTCGCTATTTCGTTTGTCATTTCAGTCCTCTCGTCAATCAAGGTTTCTACCAAAATCTTGTAAAAAGTTCCTTGATCTTCTACTAGATATTATTATATTGTACAAATTTTAAAATAATTGAAAATTGTATAAAAAGCTTTCTTATTTTTTTTTATCTAAAACAAAATCTGCTTTAAAAATATAAATTGTATTATAAAATTTATCGGTTTAAATTTAAATTATTATTATATATTATAATTATATAAAATATAATTAATATAATAATGTATAATACAATAATTATATAAAATATTAAATATTAATATAAAAAAACCCCTTCTTAAATTATTATCAAATAATTAATTCGCTCCAATAACTGCGATTGGCTGTATTGCCTCTAAAAAATTGTTTTACTATATAAAATATTATTAGAATAAATATATATCTAATATAAAATTATTACAGTAAAATGTATTAAATAATGAACTTACAATTTTAATAAAAACATATAATTGACATTTTTTTTATAATTATAAAGAGCAAAACAAATGGTTCTTAAAAAATATAAATGCAGGATATGTATGACATATACGCACATATTTTTCAATGTTATTTAATGTATTTCATTCTCATCAATAGAAGCAAACTGACGAATACATAGTGATCGATGAAATATATGGCGCATCTTTAAATAGTTGTTTAAATAGTATTTTAAATTTTTGGAGAGATTGCCTTCTTTTCTTCAAATTACTTTTCCTTAAATTACAATTCATACAATAAAATCAGAAAATGTATTATTAATTAATTAACAATAGTAATTAATGTGTATGACTGTCCCACCAATCCGAAGATTACAAACTTTTAAATTCTCTCAACTTTGTACGTGTTTTGATTAAATGATAGTTTAATTAACATCAACGGTAACATTTATTTCCTACAAGTAAATGTGAAATCGTTAAAGTAACTGGTGCACATTTGCTGATAATATTGCATGTGGTTTTACAAGTCTCAATCTTTTCGCACTTTCTATTATTTTGATGATATAAGGAATCAGAACAACTTTAAAATTTCGCTAACTAATTTAAAGAATAATATTTTGTCACATTCGAGCAATCGCATTTTATATTTTGAATAAAAATTTTATATTATTTTTAATTATCTTTCCTATAAAAAGTAAAAGAAAATCAGTAAAAATGTTTCTTTTCCGTAAATATATTTTCATTGTCAAAAATTATATAATATTAATATAATAAAATTATATAATAATTATTATAAAATACAGAATATATATACCTTTTGATATTTCATGATCGCCTCTATTTATAAATAATCCCAAACAATTTTATGTACATGAAAATCTTTATTTTAAATCTGTATTCTACTCTAAAAGTAAAATATTTGTATTTTATGTGCATTGTATCAGTTAAACATTTATTTTCTTTAAATAGCATTATTTTTTAATTACTAGAAATCAAAAGAGACAAAATAAATCATTCCAATGTAACTATCGTATTATGCGTAAAATTACTAGCAAATCTCTCAAAGTTACACTTAAAATCTTGTTGTGGACTTTAAAACATACATTATCCCTCTGTTACATTTACATTTAAGCATAAGTCATCTTATGTGCGGAATCTTAAATGGTAAATATTGGTAAATTCACATATATAATACATTATAATTTATGTTTTATGCAACGTAGCTAAAAATGATTTTCTAAAATTGCCCCAGTGCTTGTGTTTCATAAATCTTGTTTTGTAACACAGTTGCATATATATATGAGTTTACTTCTCCAAAATTAACTATCTCCAAAAATCTATATCCTTCAGGACATGGAAACATGTTTGTGTAGATAAAACCAGCACGATATATTTTTTAAATTTATTTCCAACATGTCCACAATTTGTTGATTTGTTAAAAGAATGAGTTTTTTATCCCATATTATTTGTCTATTACTTGTGTTATTCTTAATCTTATATCCTTTTTTAAGAAGTCATTCGACTTCTTTTCTCAATGTTATGTATTATTGTTGATTAATTATCGAAAATACATAAAGATCTATCAATTCTGTCACGAGGCAATAAAAATGCTTGCTGAAATGTTTAAATACAATACATATCATAGTAAATGCGAATAGGAATAAAAGACACAGGAATAGAAGATTAAGATGTTAAAAAATAAAAAAAATTATTAAAAATTTATGTTATTTATAAGTATTTATTTATATTTATATTATTTATTTTAAAATTGAAACATCACGGAAACATTTTATCAAAATATTTACTGTCAATACTGTTTAAAAATTTACACAAAAAAACAAACAAAATTTACTAGCATTTGGTTAATAAAGCATGCATTTTCTTAATATAATCTTATAATTGAACCTAACTGACTCAAAAGCCATTAATAAATGTAAATAAATAAGATGCAATTAAAAAATCAAACTTTTTCTTAAATACAATTAATCGAGAGTGACTCCGATCAATTAATCAATAGTACAAGTTTTGTTGCTAAAAATAATCGAGCATGATGCTCTTCAGTGTTTCGTGTAATTTTCATGATTATAATTGCACAAAATTATTAGGTAATAATTTGAATGGTGCAGTCCCTGTGTTTTACATAACTTTCATCCAGCTGGAAGGAACATTTAACATTAAACAATCTCTACATCCTGTGGATAAGATAATGATAAATGGAATTTCCAAAGAGCATATTCGAATATTATTTCTCCTAATGATATCTATAAGTTGTTAATATTAATATCCCGTTCCTAATATATCAATGACACTGTGATGTGTATGCGCTCTCACACTTAAAATATATTAATGATGCCTCAAAGTTTCCTTAATCGCATCATTAAGGCTCCTAGATCCTTGCCGCGACCATGTCAGATTGTGACGTCACGCTAAAAATTTTTAAATGCCATGTTTAGATGAAAAGATATTTCACGATGAATAAAACTACTTCAGATCAGGCTTTAGCACACTTTTAAAATACCTCGAAAACTATCCTTCCCCTTATAATTAATCAACAGCTGTAAAATGACTGTAATATCAGAGCCAGTCTGTCTAGTCTTTGCAGTCACTGAAGTGCTGATTCATCAAAATATGTTTTTTATTTTGAAATAGCATCTAAAAAGTTTTAACGTCAATTTCAACATAGTCGATGAAGAGCCAGAAGCCTTAAATTTGCTTATTATCCTATTACAAAGCACAAAATTGTCCAACAAAAGTAGAGTAAAAATAAGAATAACATTACAATTTTTAAATCTAAAGAAGTCAAGCCTAAAAAAAACGTTTTCCTTCGAAGAATTCAAATTTCAATAAGCTAAACAATTGCAACAATCAGCGCATGATGTTGTTGGAAGAACACCCATTGGTATGAATAATTTATAACCGTCAAGATTATAAAAGACAAAGAGAAAGAGAGAGAGAGAGAGAGAGAGAGAGAGATAAAAGAGAGAGAAATTTCTCACGAGCTTTCTCGGCAATTTATTTCCTCGCAACGGAAGACTGCAGCCTTATGCAGTCCGTTGAATGATGTGAATTCCGCTATCTGTGTGCACAGGCGAGGAGAGCTCGCCTACCTTCAGCGCGAATGCCGCCTCCTCGAAGGGCTTCTGCATCGCGCCCCGACTGAAGGGTCCAAGGTCACCGCCCCTCTTCGCCGAACTGCAGTCACTGTACTTGGAGGCCAGCTCGGCGAACGTCGCTTTACGGACGCGATTTGTTCTCTATAAGCTGCCGGACAAAATATTCTCCATGTAATATATCATACACATGGGAAAAAAAATATAAATATGATGTAAAATAAAATTCTATTCACAAACAATGCGATAAAGAATATTCATTACGGCAAGGGTTGAATAAAACTATTAATTTGTATAAGTAAACATTATTTGTGAATTTTTAAAGCACATTTTTTCTGTTTCAAATTTCAATTCTTATATTTAATATTTAAATGTTACTATTAAAGTATATTTTTAAGTTATTTTATATTTTTTTCAGTAAATTTTAAAGAAATGTATATTTTTTAATTAACAATAAGGCTATAATATATTTTTATTATAATGTATTTAAATAAGTATATATATATATATGTATATATAATTATATATTTATATCAATATTAATATATTTTATAATAATTATGATATATGTATTTATATTTTTAATTTATGATAAATTCTAAAAATTTATTGTACTGTTTTTAAAAACAAAATAAAGATTTTGTTTATTTGTAACTTTCTTCTACTCTCTTAAAAAAAAAAAAATAATGAAATAAAAAGTTTCTCGTTTTTTAACACAAATAAGAATTTTAATAAATAAATTTTATTTCATATAACTCTTTTCTTGAAACAAAAATATTAAAAAATAATATATTGGTTTTAAATTAATAAACAGTGTCTCAAATTCTTCAGAAAATTTTTTATCCGCGCCTTTATTCATATTTAATTTATATTAGCCCTATTTAGATCTATAAAAGTATATAAGTTATTTCATAACTAACAGAAAATTTGAATAGTTTTGTTCAATCCGTATCTGAGAGATGAAAGATTACAAAGCTTACATTTAACAAGATCAAGAGCTTCTTCCTTTGACCTAGTAATATTCTCTTCTCGCCAGGAAGAGGGTCGTCGAGAGCCTGAATGTTTCACAAGAAGATGAGAGCATTGCACTTCTTCTGGACCATCCGCTTTGCCGTTACCAGATGGATCCGCAGGTTTATCTGGCCTATCCCATTGGCTCTCTTTAGTATAAATATTTAAATAATAATGTTGACCTGCAATTATATGAATTTCTTAGAAAATTGAATAAAAGATTATATTACAAATTCATAAACATATATATATATATATATATAATAAATACAATAAAGAATATATGTAGGCTATTAATAAGTTCGTATCTTTGCCTCTAAGGAAAAGAATGAAGTAATTGAAACATATATATGTATGTGTAAACATATATAATATATATATATATATAATAAACTTATTAAGACAGACATCTTAAATCTGTATATTTTTAAATATTCCAAAAATACTGAGTGAGCATTAGGCTCAATAATATACAAAATTAAAAATAAAATTACATGTATCATAAAGAAACAGAGAACTTTCAGAGCTCTAATTGGACTTATATGTTTTATAATTTTACCCCAATCACATTTGCTTTCTGTATATTCTTAAATACTCTACAAATACTGAGCGAACATTAGGATCAATAATATACAAAATTAAGAATAAAATTATATGTATCGTAAAAAAACGAAGAACTTTCAGAGCTCTAATTGGACTTATAAGTTTTATAATTGTACCCCATCACATTTGCTTTAAGAATACTCATCTCTATACAGAATTCACTAAATTCACATCCGAATAATCAAAATAATATTGTTTTTGCACGAATGTTGCTGCTTATTATGAGAGACAACTAAGTAAGCAAAAATATATAAAATAGGAAAAAATATCAACAGATCGATAAATATAACTTTCGTAATGTATATTCTCAATTTTGTGTAACAAATTTGCTTGACGAAAGAGGAAATTCGACGAGACGGATTTTCTCGACGTCGGGGCGTCTCGGGAAATTCGCGCCGACACCAAGGTCACAATTTTCGCGAACAAAAAGAAAATCCTCGAGCGAAATCGTCCGGATTGATCGTATCGGCGCAAAAATCGGCCGGCACGACAAACGAATATGTATACGTGCACATATACTTGAGAAATCTCTCGCCGATGACAAGAGCCGCAGAGTCGCAAGAAAAAAAATGATCGTACGACCGTCTCGGGATCGCGATTACGTACCGGTCGATCTGCTGAGACGTTTCTCCCAACCGGCTGGTAGCTCCTCGTCCGCCATTCTTGTGTACTGTTGGATATTTTCGCTGATAATTTATAATTTCGGATTTTCTCCCGCACGTCAAACGTCGCGGATCGTCTCCATTGCGCCAAGATTCGTGCCATCAGTCGAGCCTCCCAAACCCGCCAACCTAATCTAACCTGAGGCCGCTTAAAAAATTCCTAGATTCCCATAAAAATCCCTAGATTTTCATAAAACTTCTTGGAGTCCCATAAAAAGCTCTAAAATCCCATAAAAATCCCAATTTTTTAAACAAAACCAGTTTCCCACAAAATCGCAGATTCCCACAACACACTCAAATTTTCACAAAAATCCTAGATTCCTACACAAATTTTAGATTCTCTCAAAAATCCTAGATTCCCATAAAAATTCTATATTCCCATAAAAATTTTAAATTCTCATAAAAGTTCTTAATCTCGAGAATTTTTTTAACCTAACCTAACCTTAGGCTCCTCAAAAAATTCCTAGATTCCAATAAAAATCCCTAGATTCTCATAAAACTTTTTGGAGTCCCATAAAAAGCTCTAAAATCCCATTAAAATTCTAGTTTCCCATAAAAATCCCAATTTTTTAAACAAAACCAGTTTCCCACAAAATCCCAGATACCCACAACACACCCAAATTTTCACAAAAATCCTAGATTCCTACAAAAATTTTAGATTCTCACAAAAATCCTAGATTCCCATAAAAATTCTATATTCCCATAAAAATTTTAAATTCTCATAAAAGTTCTTAATCTCGAGAATTTTTCTAACCTAACCTAACCTAAGGCTCCTCAAAAAATTCCTAGATTCCCATAAAAACCCCTAGATTCTCATAAAATTTTTTGGAGTCTCATAAAAAGCTTTAAATTTCCATAAAAATCTTAGTTTCTCATAAAAATCCCATTTTTTCAAACAAAACTAGTTTCTCACAAAATCCCAGATTCCCACAACACACCCAAATTTTTACAAAAATCCTAAATTTCTACAAAAATTTTAGATTCTCACAAAAATCCTAGATTCCCATAAAAATTCTACATTTCCATAAAAATTTTAAATTCTCATAAAAGTTCTTAATCTTGAAAATTTTTCTAACCTAACCTGAGATTGCTAAAAAATTCCTAGATTTCCATAAAAACCCCCAAATCTTGATAAAACTTTTTGGAGTTCCATAACAAGCTCTAAATTCTCATAAAACTTTAGTTTCTCATAAAAACCCCAATTTTCCCAGAAAACCCAGTTTTCTACAAAATGCCAGTTTCCACAAGATTCCAGATTTTCACAACATCCCAGATTCTTACAAAAATTCAAAATTCCTACAAAAATCTTAGATTCCCACAAAAATCCTAGATTTCCATGAAAATTCTAGATTTTTATAAAAATTTTAAATTCTCAAAAATTCTTAATTTTCTATCTAGAGAATTTTCTTAACCTGAGATTGTTCAAAAAGTTCCTAGATTCCCATAAAAAATTCCTAGATTCCCATAAAACTTGGAGTTCCATAAAGAGCTTTAAATTTCCATAAAAATCCTAGTTTCCCATAAAAATCCCAATTAAAAAAAACCCAGTTTTCCATAAAGTCCCAGTTTCCACAAAATCTTAGTTCCCACAAAAACCCTAGATTTCTACAAAAATCTTAAATTCCCACAAAAATCCTAGATTCCCACAAAAAACTTAAATTCTCCCAAAAATTCTAGATTCCTACAAAAATCTTAGATTCCCACAAAAATTTTAGGTTAGGTTCTTATAAAAATTTTAGATTCATAAAAATGTTCAATCTAGAGAATTTTCTTAAACGCTCGCCAAAATCTCTAAGAAAAGTCTTGAAAAATCCCTAGATCTTCCCTAGTCGCGTTGCATTCGAAAAAGGGGGAGAGGAGGCAACGTCATGTCATCTCGCGACTTATTTCGGATCTCGGGCACGTTCAGAGGTTATCTCGTACAAACTAAATTGACGTTTATGCAAAACGTATGGAATTTTTGCTGATTTTGACAGACGCGCGTGAAAAATTTCGGTAGTATGACAGCCAGGACGCTCTTACATCTGGGCGATATGTCAAACAGATGGTGCGAAGGATTTTCATAATCTGTTTCTCTCTCCCTCTAGCACATGATATTTTCTCTTTCGTAAACATTCTTTATTTTACGATATTTCACAAATTTTCAAAATTTATCCTTTTAAAATAATAATCCATAATTTTCTAAACTTTTACGATTATATTAATTTATTGTCCTCTATAAAAAATATTGACACGATTTCCCATAAGATGATTGGCAGATTATGTTACAAAATGTTTAATTTTGTGAAATTAAGATTTTTGAAATTATAATTTTTTTTAATAATATAAAATCCTTTTATACAAACATATATTGATTTTTACATCTATTATTATACAGAAAGTTTTATAGAATATATAATTGCTATTACTTGTATTTTTTTATTTTTTTGTCAAAAAATAAGTATCTTTTTTTTTTTTTGATAAAATTCCTAGAAATAAGATCTCATTTTTTCACTATTAATATAGAATGTTTGTAGCTCATTCTTTATTAAAAGAATTCATGTAAATTTATATTAATTTGTATAATATATAATTATATAATCATATAATATTAATATTATGTAATTATGTGAAATTGTATATGTTATATATAATTTATATAAATTGAAAAAATATATATTACAATTTTTTTTTATCAATGACACAAGTCAGTTGACAATTTATAACTGATTCGCTTGTTCCAACTTTTTTATTCAAAGCGATGTAATATTTATTGTAAAGTTTTATTGTAAAGTACTTCAGATCTACTATCAGAAAAATATAAATGCACAATTAAGAATTAATCTACATACAAATTACATCATACATTTCAAATAATTCTTTACTACCTGAACTTAAATATATTTGATTTAACACAAGATTTATTTACTACATTATGTACAGCTAAAATATGTTGCATAAAATCTAAATATATTTATGAAATTACAGTTTCTTTGCCACTGTGCAATACTGCAGACCCAAATTGCAAACGCCACAATATAGGCAGATAAGAAGCCTGAGGAGGTCACAAAATTCCTTCAAACAATCAGAGTTTCCTTTTCCAAATGCTCATATCGAATCTGGAACTATACAACCTGCGAGACTATGGAAGCACCTTGGTTTCACCATCATGGTAAACAAATAATTTACAAAAATTTCATGGAAATTTTCTTTCTGGTATCAAATAATTTTTTGTAGTTTTAACAGCACAACTCGTCTATTTGACTTATGTGTAAGAAAAAATAAAATGACTTAAGTTTAGTAATAACAGAAAAATATATATATTTATAAATACTATATTCTCTTATTTTCAATTCGATCATTATTAATATTTATGATAGATTTTTTTTAAGTACTTTTGAAATAAATAATTGTTTTAATTTTAGATATTCTTGTTTCATTACAGTTTAGCAGCGCCTCTATAGTTGGTGCTGCAATTTGGGAATATGAGCGTATCAGAAGCCAGACGTACAAAATAATTCATCGTTACAGACAGTTTCGAATTAATGTACGTATTAGTTAAAGAAATATATCATCGGTAGGTAATTTCACATACGTTTTTATTGTATATACAATAACATATTGGTCAGCGAACAGGATGGAGGGGCGAAATGGAGACGTGGTGGAGAAACTTAACCGAAGGACAGAAAATGTTTGTGCCTATATGTTTTGTAAATACAATCATATTCTTAGCTTGGCGAGTGCCAGCAATGCAAAAGTTGATGGTACGCTACTTTTGCGCCAATCCTGCCTCCAGTAAGTGATATATCATTGTTTCAAACAATTTTCTTCTTTCTTGGATTTTTTTGAAATATTGATTGGAATAATACTTATTTAAGGTGCCACATACTGGCCTATGGTGCTATCCACTTTCTCACATTATTCCATATTCCACCTGGCTGCAAATATGTATGTGTTGCACAGCTTCAGCACGATAGCTGTGTCATCATTGGGGAAGGAGCAGTTTCTAGCTTTATATTTGTCGAGTGGAGTGATAGCTAGTTTCGCTAGTCACGCGTACAAAACTATGTTCGGCCTGCCAGGTCTTTCTTTAGGAGCGGTAAGCAGGTTTATTTTTAAAAAAATTTATATTTTCGAAAAAATCTTAAATTAAATTTTTAAATTTAATATTTTATTTGTTAATTTCTTTAAATTTATATAAAATAACAAATAACGAAATAATAAAAATTTTGTTTTTATATAGGAATGTAATACATTAAATAACAATTAAATTTTAATAAGAACATCATTTTGATGTGTCATTCTTACTATTCTGAAATATATAAAGGTTTTATATATTATTAGTTTTTATTTTTTTTATAATTATAATTACAAGAAAAAAAACATTCCTATATAAAAAACAAAATTTTTGTTATTTCGTTATTTTACATAAATTTAAAGAAATAAAATATTAAATTAAAAAATTTTTAAGTTATGGCATTTTAATTTAATATAAATAATATTTTTACAAGTTTTAAAAATTAAAAATTAATTTTTGATTTAACTTAAATTAATTTAATCTCAACTTTATCTTACTTCTTTGTTTATGCAACTTTTAACGTAACTAAATTAATTTTATAAGCCATTAACTTTGTAACTTTTAACTTACAATTAAAAACAATAATTAACTTACCCAACCCTATCTATTATACAAATAAACCTTGTCTGACAATTATATTTCTATTTCAGTCAGGAGCAATTATGGGTGTTCTTGGATTTATCTGTACACAATATCCTGACATAAAACTCAGTATCATTTTTCTTCCTATGTTCACGTTTACAGCTGGTATGGTATGTATTCTCACTCTTTATAATATATACATATATATAGAAATTTTAATAAAATTTTTATTTGATTTGATAAATATAAAAATAAATCATTACATCTTGATATTATATATTTTTCTAGTTGCATTATTTTTATAATATTTTTTACTTAGGCAATCAAAGGAATAATGACTATGGATGTTATCGGTTGCACCTTAGGATGGAAATATTTTGATCATGCCGCACATTTAGGTGGTGCACTATTTGGAATGTAAGTTCATGTCATATAATATAATTCTTGTGTTAATTATGTTAAATCACATAAAATTATATATTGCACTATTATATATTTGGGTATATTTCTTAAAAAAAAAAATATGGAAGATATTATGCAAATACATAATTATTTCATTTAAAAAAAAAATGTAATCTTTGTGAAATAGTATAAATTGCATTTATAATTTCTTTTTTTTTCTTTTTAATTGCAGATTCTGGCAAGTCTGGGGTAATGCTAACATCTGGCAGAAGCGAGAACCACTTTTGACCCTTTGGCATGGATTTCGAGAACCTCGAAAATCACAATGATATTTTCCCTACTCTAGATTTTTATTTATAATATAATATATTCTATATACAGAAATTGTAAAATTTTCATTATCTCGCAACAACAAATTTGCCGAAACCTTTAGATATGCATTATCTATTTTTATTGTTTATATTCCGTTTTTACATGATAAAATATATACTTTATCAATCCTCCAAAAAAAAAAAAAAAAAGATGTAGAAGCTATATCAAAATAATTATTAGTGCAAAATTTTCATAGAAAAATGCGAATTTTAGTTCTTTTCTTAGAAAAAGTTTAGCATCTTAATTCACAATCAAATTTCTTGTAAAAAAGTGTAATATAAATCGCAGTATCTCAAACATCCAATGTTTTTAGAACAGTGGAGCAAATGTTGAACATACTTAACTTTTAAGATATTTGACGTGATGTTTCAAGTGATCCTCGATAAATGTAGCTATAAAATAATAGCTATGATCATAACCATCTTGAAATCTGAGAACAAGTGCTATCCCATTATCCTTGGCAGCATTTAGTAAATTCTCAGGTAATAGTTGACCTTGTTTTAGGAACTGATCCTCTTTGCCCTGGAAAAACCATTCAAATTTTTATCGTAGTACGAGATTTTTCTTTGAAGCATAAATAAAAAAAAATATATATATATCAAGGTTGGAGATAGTAAGTTAATTAAAAATAAGTTAATTTTTTATTTAAAGTAGTTATTTCTAAACTTAATAATTATTAATTTTTTTCTAAATTAAAAAAAAATTTCACCTCTGAATGCCATTTTATTTACTTTTTTTTAAATAAAATCTTTAACATTGGACAATTTAATTTTTAGGAGCATTATTCTGCCATTTTACAAATATGATAATAAAGGTTTTATATACTATTAGTTTTTTCTTCTTTTTTCATAATTGTAATTACAAAAAAAAATATATTTTAATATAAAAAAACTTTTTGTTATTTTATATACATTTAAAAATTAAAAATGATACTTTTAAATTAACTTTTGATTTAACTTAAGTTTATTCTTAACTCAAAATTTAACTGACAATGAGTTAATTTTTTGTTCATGCATCTTTTACCATAATTAAATTAATTTTATAAGTCATTAACTTAACTTAGTTTGAAAAAAATAATTTACCCAACCATGAAATATTATCAATTAAAAGATTGAAAAATCTAGAATATATTTAAATGACTAAGGAAATAAGATCTACATTAAGACTATAAATATGAATATGTAATTTTAAAATCAAACCTGATCGATTAAAATGTCCAAAGGTGGACCGTTATATTTTTTTGCTAGTTCTGTAGCATCCCATTCCTTCCATGCAACATTATCATCCTCTGATCCTCCCAGATATCCTGAGAAAGCTTTCTTTCCCCATGGACACAAAATTGGATTACTTATGGGTGCGAAGGCTGAGACTGTTCTGTATTGTCCAGGGTTTTTAAGAGCACATATTAAAGCGCCATGTCCACCCATGCTAAACAGGAAAAAAAAAATATGTGAAAAAATATATATATTGAAAAATATTATTATATCATGTTTTATACCTATGGCCCATTATCGACTGTCTGTCTGGCAAAGTTGGAAATTCTTTATTGATCAAAGCTGGCAATTCTTTGGTAATATAACTGTACATCCTGTAATTTTTCTTCCACGGTTCACATGTTGCGTCCACGTAGAAGCCTGCACCGCTGCCAAAGTCGTAACTATTATCCTCCCCAGGAATATTCAGTCCTCTCGGACTTGTATCCGGTATAACAAGAAGTACTCCAGAATTTGCAGCATGTCTCTGAGCTCCAGCTTTCTCACTGAAATTAGCCTCGGTACAAGTGAGACCAGACAACCAGTAAATAACTGGTACCGGACCCTCTTCAGCCTGAGGTGGCAGATAGACAGCGAATTTCATCTTGCATCCTAATTCTGTGCTGTTGAATAATTAGTTTTAATTGTAGTAACATATTTCAATGAGAAGGAAGCATTTTACTACAATAAATAATTATTATTCTGTAATTTATATACTAAATATTTAATATTATATATAATATAATATATTAATTATTAATTATAAATTGTAATTAAAAATTAAAATTAATATACCATATATTTTATATATATTTTTATATATGCTAGAATAAATTATTATTCTGCAATTTATATACAAAATATTTAATATTATATATAAATATTTAATATAATATATTACATTAATTATTAATTAATTATAAATTGTAATTAAAAACTAAAATTAATATACTATATATTTTACCTGTCGTGCGAATAAACTTTTTGCCATCCTCCAAAAATTTTGTTACTCTGGACTTGTGTTAACTCGGACATCTGAAAATTATTGTTAAATCTTCAATACATAATATTTTCCTTGAATATTTCTAAATTTTAAAAAATATGTTATTTTGCTATCAACATTTTTTTAGCGAATTGTAAAAATGATTACGTTTTAGAATCGAAGAGGTGCGAGGCTAAAAATAAATTTTAGGTTATGTTTTTTTTTTAGATAAGAATAGGTTATACATTATACTTGAAGGTTAAATTAGGTCTCGCGTGAAGGTTAACTGATAAATCACAATATTTTACAAGTGATTTCGTTATAAGTATAAATATGTAATTATATAATTATTTAAAGGCTTTATATATATTTAAAAATTTTTAATATATTAATTTTTAATATATTATTTATTGTTATTAAATATATTATTAAATACATTTAATATATTTTTTATATTATTAAATATAATTATAAATATATTATATTTAAATATATAATTATATAAGCTTATCTCTTAACATAATATAATAGAATTTTTATAGAAAAAATTTTAGCAATTTATTGTTGTTGAAATTTAATATGCATATATATTTGTGTGAAACAAGTTTGGTTGAAATTATTTACATAAATGGAGCGAGAAAATAAATATAAATTTTTAAAAAATTTTTCTCTTATATTATTTTGTAACTTTTTTTTGAAAACTTCTTCACGTACTTTGTATCCAAAATGTGCAAATGATATTTGCAGCTTTGTCCAAACTGCTGGCAGACTCAAAAAGAGAGAGCGGGAGATGCAATATATCTTCAACATAAAAAGAACATGATAATTCAGACTTTGATCTTTCAGATTTTTATAAGCACATACGTTTATATAACATGTATCCAGAGTTGGGTAGTTAAGTAGTTAAAAGTTAATAACTTTTAACTTAGCTTATTAGTTAATTTAAAATGTATTAATTTTTTTAACTTAAACTAGTTATTTTTGACTTATTTTTAAACTTATTAACTTCTTTCCCAATTTAAATTTTTTTATCTCTGAATACTATTATATTTTTATAAATTATAAACGTATTATTTTTAAATTAAAGTATTATTAATTTTGATGTTTATTTGTTATTAATTGTAATTACCGAAAATATATTTCTATATAAAAATCAAAATTTCTTTGTTATAAATTTTAAAAGAATTAACAAACGAAATTCTAATTTAATATAAATAATGTTTCTAAAAATTAACTTTTATTTAACTTCAGTTAATTTAATCTTAACTTAAATTCATTAACTTATCCAACCCTGCATGTACTATACATATTTAGTGCAGCACAACTTACTTGATATAATTCATTGCTTTTTTTATTAGAAATAACAAAAAAAACTTTTCTTTTTATTGCTTCTAAAAATTGCCTGGAGTAGCTCTTCCATATTGTACAATCTTAATTATTTTATAACAACAGTCATCACGATTTTTTTACTAATTGTTGCTTCTCTTGTATCCTGGAGGATCGCTTCGACACAGCAATTTTTGCAGGACATAATTCCTGTCTTACATTCTTCCTTAAAATGTTACTTGCTGCTGAAATAAAATTAGAAAAATTAATGATTATGAAAATAAATTATAAAAATTGTGAAGAAAAAAAACATAAAAATTAATTACTTAAAATTTTAAATTAAAAAATATCTTTGTTATCACCATCAAATATTCTGATAATATATAAATTAAGAATTTTAATTAAGAATTAACATTAAGAATTTTAAAGGCTCTATATATGTATATATTAATCCTCTATATACATAATATTAAAAATTTTGTAATATATTAAATATATTAAATATATTAAATATTTTAAATATATTAATGGTTTTAAAATACATTTATGTTTAAAAAAAAAATAAAATAAAAATTTAAAAACAGATAAAGAAGGAATATATGAATAAAAATAGATAAAAATATTTAAATAATCTTAATTTGCGTACGTTTCTCGAATTGGGGTTCTATCTTAACTACACTGCCGATACTCTCTCTTGACGATGGAAAGACGCTCGTGCGACTCGTGCTTTTTGCAGGCTGATCCAATGAACCTACAGAACTCGCACATGGACTCATGGCTGATCTGGTCGACGAAGGGAAGCACGGCAGCTCGATATTCTTGATTATGAGTAATTTTTTCACGTACGCTTCAGCTTCCACATGACGAATTGTGAACTCCGCGATATCTTGCAGAGCTAGAGCGTTCTGTTCTTGAAGCTCGCGCAGTTCCACCTCTCTCTGAAAAGTGGAAATCGTCAAAGAATGCAATTCATCAGTCGACAGATTTTTTCTTCCATCTGCCAGGTTCTTACCTGCTGTAAAAGTACGGTGTCGTCTCTTTTAAGAACGTACAGATTTTGTATATCCTTCTGCGCTTTACGAAGGCTCTTGTCAGCCCTAGATAGCTTCCCTTCCTGCTCTGCCATCTGTTTCTCGACACCTGACAAGTAACGTTGCTTATTTTCCTCCTCCTCCTTTGTCTTTTCGATATCGTCCAGCAGTTGAGTGTAATCATTCTCCACTTTCTGACCAAAATTAATATTGGTATCAATTATTTATACATAATTTTGCATTTAATAATTTATACATAGATTGCTGCGCAAGAAATCAGAAACAAACACAAGGAGACCTCCAGGGTTACGTTCCAAAATTCATTCCTTGAAATAGAGTAGTCTTTGACTAACCAATTATTTTCATTAATTATTTTTAATAATATAAAAAATATACTTAATAATAATACATAATATATTTAATATATTAAAAAATTTTTAAATGCAATACATATATAGAGCTTTTGAAATTCTTAATATTAAACATAAATGTATTTAAGTTTCTTTTTAATTTATATATTATCAGAATATTTCATGGTGATAGAAAGATATTTTTTTTTCAGGCAAAAGAAACACAAATTTCTATGTTCCGATTGGTCAATCAAAGACTATTCTACTCCAAGTAAATTTTAGTACGCAGCCCTGATCAATCACCCAAAAGATGGTTACAAGAGTTGGATCTCAGCATCCCAGGAAGTTTAGTAAAGCAACACAAAAAAAAACAAGATATAGTCTTAGGAAAGTTCCTTGATGAATTGGAGAAGAAGGCTCCTATAAACACCTGCAATTTATCGAATAGTTGTTGCAGCTGCTCTTGCTTTTGCTGCAAGTTTTGCCGGGCGTCGCGCATCCGCTCGTCGAGCCTCCTCTGCTCCGTCCACTCGGGCGCGTCCTGGTCCACCGCGGTCAGGTTGTCCCGGTACTTGTCGTTGCAGACGTTCACCACGCGCAGCGTGTTCTCCATGCTGCGTATCTCCTGTTCGGTTCGCCCGATGGCCTCGTCCAGCTTGTCGCCTCGCTCCCGCAGCAGGTACCGCTCCTGGGCGCTCTGGATCTTCAGATACGCGGTGCTCATCGGCAACCCGTCCGGGGTGGAGCCCAACGTGGCGAGGCCGCTGTCGTATCGCGCCTGCAGCTGACGTATCCTGCTCTTCCTCTCGGTCACGGCGGCCCGCAGATCCGAGCACTCGTTGCTCGCGAGCCTCCTCTGCACGACCAGCGCCTCCTTCTGCGCTGCGATCTCCGCCGAGCGTTCCTTGAGCGCCTGAAGAGCGAAGGTCGATGTGTGTCATTAAAGAAATACTTTTAGAGATCAATGTTCTAATCATGTTAATAGGATTTTAACGCTTTTGTGGATCTTGAACTTTATTAGAATAAGTTTGTGGTATTTTTAATAAAGAAATAAAAATTATAAAGTGTATAAAGAATTATAAATACTGAAAAATATATAAAAATAATTTTAATGTGTTGTCATTAAAGAAATACTTTTAGAGATCAATGTTCTAATCATGTTAATAGGAATTTTAACGCTTTTGTGGATCTTGAACTTTATAAAAATAAGTTGATGGTATTTTTAATAAAGAAATAAAAATTATAAAGTGTATAGAGAATTATAAATATTGAAAAATATATAAAAATAATTTTGATGTGTTGTCATTAAAGAAATACTTTTAGAGATCAATGTTCTAATCATGTTAATAGGAATTTTAACACTTTTGTGGATCTTGAACTTTATTAGAATAAGTTTGTAGTATTTTCAATAAAGAAATAAAAATTATAAAGTGTATAATAAAGAATTATAAATATTGGAAAATATATAAAAATAATTTTAAAATATAAAAAATGTGAAAAAATAAAAAATTACAAAATAAGCACAAAATTAAAAAAAATTTAATAAAATAATGAAATGTAGAAAATTATAAATATTGAAAAATATACAAAAATAATTAAAAAATATGAATGTAAAAAAATTAAAAATTACAAAATAAGCAAAAAATGAAATAAAATAATGAAATATAGAAATGAGGGACTCACCGCTTCGAGATGAAGACGATACTTTTCTAAATCGTAGACTTTATCGCTCACGTTCAACGTTATTCGCTCGAGCTGCGACACTCGAAGGCGCATTATATTTTCCTCCACTTGTCTCTCCTCGTTCTGGGATTGCGCGATTTTCAATCGCTTCTCGCCTCCGTCCAGCAGCAACAGTAGATCTTGCTTCTTACTTCGTAGCCGCTCGAGTTCCTCGTTCTCGTTCGACAGGCAGCTAGATATTTTCCTCATGTCATGCTGAAAAAAGAGAAAATAAGAAAAAATATTTTCTTTGTGCAATTCAATTTTTACTCGACGCTACATTTTTCTTCAACTAGTTTCGATATACTTTTTATTGTTTTTTTTAATTAATTTTGTATGTGTCATAAAATAGAAATGCCATAAATTTTAAAAATCACATAAGTTTACACATAAAACTTAAAAAAGTTTCTAATTAAAAAATTTAAATATTTCTAATTAATTCCCAGTTATTTCTTTTTAATATAAGAAATAAAATAGCATGTCAAAGTAAAGAGTATCCATTTATATAAAATCAATCAAAATACTTCCATACTTTCCAATACTTTTTTTTACAAAAAAAAAGAACAAAAAGAAGAAAAAGAAGAAAAGGAAAATATGCAAAGTTTTTTTACTTCTAAACTAGCAATCTGATTTTGCAGCAATTTAGAAGTGGTTGTTCTCTCGTTCAGTACAGCTTGCAGCTCCTCAATTTTCGCCTGCTTCTTCTCAGCTTCGCTCTTATCTCGCTCGTATCCTCTGACTCGCTCGAGTTTCATCTCGCACTTTTGCAGATTGAATTCCACTCGATAGAGAGCCTCCTTTTTCTCATTTAATAGTTTCTTCTCCTTCTGGAACAATCCAGCGAGCAGATCAATCTTCTTGTGCTCGCCCTGCATCTCCACCTGCATCGTCCTTCTGTCGCTCTCCATTTTTACGATTTTCTTCGTTGCATTTAAAATCGCGACTTGCAGTCGATTCAATTCCCTGACAATCACGGATTTTCGTTTCTCATCATGCTAAAAGTATATAATAAATTGTAATTAATTATTTATTATTCTTTTCAAGATTTTTTTCACATATCGCTATATATTAAATATCCTTTCTTTTTACAATATATCTAAACATACTTCAATCATCTTTTCTAAGCATTTCGTTCTCTCTTCAACGTTCAACTTCTGGCTCTCGATCTCCTCTAAAGTCGACATTAGATCATTGATTCGTTTCTTGCAATTGTCCACTTTGATGTATTTGTTCTCCAGCTCAATCTTTTTGCGTTTTGCATTAGCTCGAACTTGTTGTATACGACGTGCTAGGTCCCCTACTAATTTTCTCTGGATATGAACCTGTCTCAATGATGATTATCAATCATTATTCAATTATAAAGATAGGTCAAAATTTATATTAAATTAATGCAATAATTAAACTAAAAAATATATAATTTAATTATAATATATACATATATCAATAATTTATATATTATAATCATTATAATTTGTATACATTATATATATATATATATATATATATATATATTTTTTTTTTTGCATATTATATATTATCTTTATATATGATTATAATACAAAATATATTTATATTTGTAATATAATTTATATATATATACAATATATAATTTATGAATAATGATATATGAATCTTGTGTGTTGCTTTCTCACCTCGATGGCGTAAACATCGATTTCCTCTGTAATTTTAAGGTGTTTTTCTCGATTCGCGAGAAGTTCCTTCTCCGATTGTTTAATTTGCTCTTCCAACTGCTTATTATTTACAATTTGATCTTTTAAAAATTTCTCCACTTCCTCGAGATTACTCTTCTTCTCTATGTCGATTTCTCGCAATGTTTCGATTTCCTACGATTTTATATATTGATATCTGATTCTATATTCTATGCAGAAATTTTTGAAAAAGGAAATCGCGATCGTAGATACCTTTAGACTGTTCTGTATATCATTGTCCCTCTGTCGCAGAACGTTGACGCTTTGCGTCCACTGATTTATCATCTGCCTGCGCTCTTTTAACGCTTCCATATACAATTTTGTCGTGCGATCCAGAACGATTTCCATCTCTTGTACTTCGTCAACGGCCTTGACAATAGCTTGGCGATAAGTTTCAACTTCTCTGCTAAGTTTCTGTCGTTTTTGTTCCAATTCCTAAAAATAAGATTATCTTTTAGTATGTATTATTTCTCTTATACATTGCACAATTAAAATTTTTCAGCTTTTTATTTTTATTTAATAAAGATTAAAATTAGATATTTAAAGACAAGGCTCGTGTAATATTATAAAAATAAGATTTAGAAAGACAGGGCCAACCATAACGAGCATATTAAATTAGTTAGAGATGTAATGTCAACACATAATTACTTTATTTGTTAGTATATACAATGATATTAATAAAAAATAAACGTTTCGGCTGTTACCTCAGCCTTCTTCAGTAAATATATAAAAAATAAAATTAAGAATTATTACGCATTAGAGTCTATTTTATAATGAACCTTTGGTTTGATGAGTCATTAAATTTATATTGGGTGACGCTTATATCATTTATTAAAATTAGATATTGTTTTTGATCGGCTAACCATTTTTTAACTGAGATGGTAACTTTTGAATATGTCAAAAAACATGCAAACGAGCTCACTGTTGTTATTAGATAAAGTTGACAATCCATTCCACGTCATCAATCCTTTTGCACATTATTAGTTGAGAATATCATCAGAACTGCTTAATATGAGAATTGAATGATTATTATATACTAAATATGATTATATACTAACAAATAAAGTAATTATGTGTTGACATTACATCTCTAACTAATTTAATATGCTCGTTATGGTTGGCCCTGTTTTTCTAAATCTTATTTTTATTTTTATTTTATTTTATTTTTATATTTTAATTATTTTATTACATTTTATTTTTATAATTTGTTATTGTATTTGTAATTTCTAAATATATAATATTTCTTACAATTAATTATATAAACATTTTAAGATAAGAGGTATTAAATAAGTTTAAACTTTGAAAAACTCTAATTTACAATACATATATATTTTTAAATATATCAAATAAATTTAAATATATAAATTTAATAAATTATATAAATATATATATTAAATAATATTTTATACATGTTAAGTACATATAAATATACATATTAAGTAATACAATAATAAATATAAATAATTATTTATAAATAAAAAAATTTCTCCAGATTAAAAATCAAACAATTTAACCAAAAAAAATTTCTAGTTAAAAGATTTTAATTATTAAACTAAAAGATTTTAGCCTCTCTGATTCATTCCCAACTATTCCTTTCTAATATAGGAAAATAACATACTAAAATGTCCATTATATCAACTCAACTAAAATATTTTATTTTTTTTTATCATTCAAATAGGACATATAAGAGTACTAATAACTCTCTTTTTGACACTAATATCTTAGACATGTATTATGTTCTTGTACTACCTTGTACTTCTGCGTATCTTGCTTCATGTAGCTCTCTATCAGCTGATTATCCTCTGCCTTTTGCGCGAGCATTTCCTCGCATTTTCGTAAATTATCTTCATCGAAATGGACAGTTTGCTTCGCCTTGACTAAATTTCTCGTCGTCTTCAGCAGTTCTTTTTCCACAAATAATACTCTGCGGTTCACATCCGCCCATTCTTTCTCGAGCTCACGCGTCTCCTGACGTAGCGATGACTCCGTGTTGCCGCTGAGTCGATACAGATGATCCTCTGTCTCCATCTGGGTCGAATGTTCCACAAGCAACTTCTGATTGAATTCGTGCTGCAAGGTTACATCATTGGAGTGTTTCTTCATCATCTTCAGCCGTTCCTCGAGGCTTTCCAGCTTTGCATTTAGAGAGAGCTTGTGTTTAACCTTTCTAGCAATCTGCAGCAAATCATGCAATTGTTTACAAATGTTTTTACAGCGCAGTTCATATAATTCTATTTTGATTAATCTTATAACTTAATTCATTACTGTGCACAATGCAATTATTTTCTTTCTGTTACCTATATTATTTTATTTGTGTAATTAAGTGTCGTAATAAATAATATTTTTTGGGAAATTAATAATAGATGCGATAATTATTCTGTTTACTCTATAAATAATAAATATAAGGATCATTAATTGTGATAAATATCTTTAACTTCTATCTTTTATTTTTTCACAAAATAATTACAAAATTAATTTCTGACAAAACCTATTAATAAAAATTGATTTATCATTATTTCATAATTGTGTTTACCTCTTATTTAAGGACAACTGAGACTTTCTATCCTAATAAATATAGAAAAAATAGCAATCGAATTTTATTTTAGTACTAATATATTAATTAAAATATTAAAATTCAGAGAATTCTCTACCTCCTCCTCCAGACGTTTGTTCTCTTCGTTAGCGACAGGAATTCGAAAGCCATCCTGCCATCCCAGCTGGCTCAGGATCACGTCTATATCCCCAGTCGCCATGTGTCAAAATATTATTACCGCCTATCTCGCTAATTATTTATAACAATTCGTTGACAGTGTCATAATAATACACCATGCCCGGACACAACGACGTTTATATTCTGTCGCCACAGCAACCCGACAGAATAGCCAATATAATAAATACGCCAATTTCCTAGGATATTCATCTGTCCATGGACCATAGCACTACGAGAGCTCCATCAGCTTCTCTCTGCATCTATAAAACTGGCTATGAATACGGGCCTTAACAGGAAATTGAAAATATTTATTTTCTTCTCTAATAGTAAATTTAAATAATAAATTGCAAAATGTGAGATATTTATTAGACAAAGAATAAACTTGTATTTATGTCTTTTTGTAATCTTGAAGTTTTTAGATCTGTATATATCTTCAATTCAATGTTTTGCAAATATTCATTTTGTCCTTTAAAAGTACACAGTCTGATTGATGTGAAAATGTGTTTCCTTTTTTCATTAAGGAAATCACATCTTTTAGTACGCCAATGCTGAAATCTAATTGAGCAATGTGCCTATGTAAAATGGAATAGGATATGGCAAGGGTAATTTCAAATCCTTCTTTAAAAAGAATAAATATGCTTTTAATATTAAAGGGCGAAAAGCGTTCTAATTTCAGGTAAAAAACAAGCCATATAGCCAATAAATAGATTTATCTAAGCTCGTATTTTGTCGATAAAAAAGGAAAAAAAAACAAGATTTCTCAAAGCACCCGTCAGATTGCGGCCAAAACGTTTAGGATCCTCTTAAGAATAGTATTTTTAAAAAATTATATTCTCTTTAGGGATGTGTTTATATACATACATATTTTATAGTGCAAAAATAAAACATAATATACCTAATTTTCTTTTGTTGACGAAATATTGTTATGAACAGTTATTATATGGTAATGAATTCTTTTCATTTAACACAATAGCTTCACATTAATTGTTATAACCCATACAGCACCGATAGATTGCAAAAATATTACAACAATTTTTCACCGCAATATTGCAATATTGCAAATTCACTGCAAAATGTTGTTACATCATTGCTGTTGAATTGTAGCAATGTTAAAATGTCCGCTTTTTGGAAGATTGCAACAAAATATTACAAACAATATTGCAATGTTATGAATTTGCAATAATGCATTGTTATTGCAACCATAAACTAATGTTGCATATACAGGTATATAAATGTAAATAAATCATTAATGAAAATACGTTGTAGTTAATTTATATATATTACAATATAT